TGATTTATATAGTGATTTATATAGTGATTTATATAGTGATTTATGTGATAGAATGTATGCGCTTTTATCTAAGTAAAGAAAAAATTCTTATGAGAATTAGCTTTTCCATAGCATGAACTTTCCAATTGATCAAGAAACGGTGTACGTTTTCACCACGCGTACTGGTGATTCAGAACTTGTTGACTATTTGAAAGATGACTTCAATTTCGAAGTAACTGCTCGAAAGCTAAACTTGAAACAACAAGCACACTTGCAACTGATCAGATCAACCGATTTGAAAATAAAGAAACTAGTGACTCAGTTATTCACCAAATACATTTTAAACTATTTCTTGGGCCAGTTGGACCCCTGGAAAGATATCCAGTTTGAGTATAACCAATATGGGAAACCAAAGCTACCCAATCTTGAATTCAATCAGAGCTCTTCGAATGATCTAATATCAATGGCTGTAAGTTTGAAAACCCCAATTGGGATTGATTTATCCCATAATAAACAGGATTCGATTGATCCTAATCAAATATTGGATCAGTTCTATGATATTTTTCATCCAATTGAAATGAAAATATTACTACAAGAAAACGATGTAAATATCCGATACACAAAATTCAATCAACTATGGACATTGAAAGAAGCATTTACCAAGTTGATAGGCAGTGGGTTGAACATTGATTTGAAACAATTTGGATTTGCATTTGAACAAAATGTTAAGTTGCAGGATTGTATTGATGATTACCAATTCATGAACGAATACGAAGTAGCTTGGGAAAAAGAAATTCCAATCATAATTGAAAATGATTTATTACAGCATGAATTAGTTAATGACAAACCATATTATTGTTTATCAGGATGTTTAGAAACTACCCAACCACCGATCTTAATATCTTTAGTACATCAAAATTCAAATTTACAAGTCAAAAATTACCATTTAAATTTTATTAATGCTATTACTATATAAAGAAAATATTATTTATTACTTGGATAATTTACAACCATTGTCATTACTGCATTCAATGCACTCATTTGTTCACCTAGACCATATTTGGAATCCCAACCATCATGATTCCAATCTTGGCCACAAGTGATACCATCGGTGCCACCCGAACAAGATTGAGCAGCAGCTTTTGCAGAAGATTCTAGCCATTTTGTTAAATCATCATCAACGTCACTCGCCACTAAACCAGTTAGTTTTAAATTACGAGCGAAAAGGGATCTAAAAGCTCTTTGGTCGTTATTGCAAGAATCATTATCCATGCAAGAAGGTTCATACATGATGTTATTTTTGAAAAAATTTTTAGAACCATTAATAATATGTTGAGTATTAGTTAACCAAGAATCATTATCGGTATGATTGTACATATAAGCATTACCAGATAAAATGACTCCGTAGATATAAGACCAGTTAGTTTTATCAAAATCGGAACAATTTTCATCAACATGACCACCATCATAAATTGAGATTGAATTATCATTAACATTTATAAAACCAACATCCTTCATCCAATCCCAAATTTTAGAAGCGGTTTTCGAATAAGAATCTTCTTTGGTGTATTTTGCTAATCTTGAGGCTAAATTAAATAAAATCCCATTAGCAATTGTATTTTTATAATCATAACCGGATCTATCTTTTGAAATTTGCCATCTAATACCACCTTTACAAGAACCACTATCCCAACGATTATTAATTTTGTCAAAAACTGTTTTCAATAAATCCAAATATTTATGATTTGAATCAGCTTCTGGGAAATTTCTTTCAATTGCTTGCATTAATGTTAACCCCCACATACCTTGATCATCATTTGCTTCTACTGAAGATTCATTTGAAGGCATAAAATCATAATTTGAACCAGCTTGATGAATGATTGCATTTTGAATTATTTTCTGTAATGTGGTATTTGAAGAATCGCAATAAGTATAATAATCAATCAACCCGGTGAAAGCTTCACCAGCATGCCACCAATAGTATGGTGCTTGAAATTTACCAACGGTCCCGCCATTTTTGATCCCTTCATAGTAATTCAATTCACCTTCCACTATCGAACCAGCAGCTTTGCAAACCGAATCCTTGGATTTTATGTCTATTGAAAGACCATTAATTATGGAAAATAAGTAAAATAAAATAATTGCAATCATTTTTAATATTACCGATTAAACATTCTTAAAAGTTAAAAGGTTAATAAGATTCTTTTATAATATTTTTTTCCATCTGGCATAATTACCAAGCAAAATCAGTAACCAGATCTTGCAAAGTGTTTCACTTGCATTAAGTTGAAACAAGCCATCGAGATCACCAGCACAGTCGACTACATCAATCATCACCAACAATCACCAATTACATCAACTGCATCAACTATATCAACTATATCAACTATATCAACTACATATCAACTACCTGTATACCGCTTGCAAACTATCTGACTACCTGACCATCTAATACACCGTCTGCTTACCAACTGCCTACCAGTACCAAGTAGATCAACTTCTACTCGAGCATCGAAGATCAAAGTAGTAACCAGCTTTCCCAATTGCGAAATTCTTCCAACAATGGCAATTGAGCCTTTGCAGCTGGCTAAAATAAACACACCCGTGCATCACATGCTATTTACACCCACACACCACAATTGCAACCAAAAACTACAAAGACAATTATTAAATATTCCAGATTATATATTAATAGAACATCTAAAAAAGAGAAAACAACATTTTGATCTAGTATCAAACTAATAAAGCAATCTAGTGTCAAACTAAATTAATCAAGCAATCCAGTGTCAAACTAAATTAATCAAGCAATCCAGTGTCAAACTAAATTAATAAAGCTATCCAGTGTCAAACTAAATTAATAAAGCACCGGCAGCCATGGCAACAACAGACAAACCGTAACCAACTGATTTAGCACCAGCACTAGAACCAGAGGAAGAGGAGGAACCGGAACCACCAGAACTAGAAGAGTCGGAAGAACCAGAGGAATCAGAACCAGAACCAGAGGAACCAGAACCAGAAGAGGAACCAGAACCAGAAGAGTCAGAGTCGTCAGAAGAAGAAGAACCGGAACCAGAGGAAGAGGAATCGGAATCGTCAGAAGAAGAAGAACCGGAACCGGAACCAGAAGAGTCTGAATCGTCAGAAGAAGAAGAAGCAGAGTCATCGGAAGAAGAAGAACCAGAACCAGAACCAGAAGCGTCCGAGTCATCGGAAGATGAAGAAGCAGAGTCGTCTGAAGAAGAAGAGCCGGAACCAGAAGAGTCGGCATCGTCTGAAGAAGAAGAAGCAGAGTCATCTGAAGATGACGAACCAGAACCAGAAGCATCAGCATCATCTGTGGAGGTAGAAGATGAATCTTCGGCAGAAGAGCTTTCACCAGCTCTCTTAATGATGGCAGCGTTATAACCTTTAGTGTTATCTAAAACCTGACCATTAATAATGGTGGCAATAGTTAAAAGAATGGAAACTTGAGATAATTTCATTATAAATTAGTGAGTAATAATTAGTGATAATTAAAAGATAGTTTCCCTACCCTCAATAGACCTACTTATACATAGATATATATATATATTCATCAGTATATCGATAAGTTGCTAAATTCATGGCTGAGGGGTTACGATCATGTAGATGAATAGAAAGAATGAAATGAAATCGTATTCAAAGCAAACGCCAAAGTAATGAAAAAGGAATTGAAATGATTGAATCCGGTTAGTTTCTTCGCCTCTATTATTCAAATGATTTACCTTTAAACTAAGGTACGAGAAGGATTAAGGCAATGCTCAAGATGTCAAGCCATGGAAAACGTGCTTATGGATCTATTTGAATTGTGGAGTATCAACGTGCTCTTTTGCACCCTTTTTCCAACGTGTGGCAGACACTTACACTACCACACATGGGTTTGGCAACGGATTAAGACATTTGCTATTTGACATTTAACCTTCACCATTTGCTGTTGGCGTTACGCCATTTGCTATTTGACATAAAGTTAAGGTCCTTTGGTACCGTAAATGGTTAAATGATCCTCATTGTAGTCTGATACTTGTATGGTTATTAGTCTTTTGTATGGGCAGTCCGTTACTGATGTTGCTTCGTCGCTCATATGGATATATGGTTATACGGCTGTCTGACTAGTCTACACCTTAACTGATTATACTAGAAGACACGGTAAAACCACTAGATGCCGATATAACTAGTAGATGCGTATGCTACTAGTAGATGCGTATGCTACTAGTAGACGCCTATATAGCTAGTATCATGGAACAGCGGTCTACACGCCAGTCTACTGATTATCAGTATGCTTATAATGATTCTGCTAGTCGCTCATATATCGTACTGTACTCGCTCATATGGATTAGACTGCTGTACCCGCTCATATGACTGCTGTACTCGCTCATATGACTGCTGTACTCGCTCATATGGATTAGACACTCGCTCAGATGGATATAAGTATTCGTTTGATATCATTGGCATGGCACTCCCTTCATTATACAGCCATATGGCTAGACTAGATACTCATATCTACTGGTGGATCTTATGGCGCCCACATACTAGTAGATACTTACGTGGTTACGCTTAATTATTAGCTTGTTAGTATGTATACCAAGTAGATACTTGTATGGAAGGACTATTTCGGCTACTAGTCTATCTCGGCTACTAGTATATCTCGGCTACTGAAGTATATCTCAGCTACTAAAGTATACCTCAGCTACTAGAAGTCTATTCTGGACTTGACGTCTATTCTGGACTTGATGTCTATCCTGGACTTCTGGCTTCAAGACACGGCTATTCTAGATACTATATATTATTAGTAGTACTAGTGGTGATACTCACGCTTACTAGCTATACTCAGGAGTTATGCTTATGAGTTATACTTATGTGATATTTATGAGTTATATTTATGAGTTATACTTATGAGATACTTATGAGATTATTAGATATACTTATGTGATACTTATGTGATACTTATGTGATACTTATGTGATACTTATGTGATACTTAT